GGTCAAGCGGAAGTAGATGTCACGTACAACAGGAAGGCTGACTGACTGCTGATCATGCGCAGATCAAGTCAACTAAAACGTCTAGACAACGTGGATATTTGGTATGGATGGTCACTGGTCAGTGTATCCAAAGGTGGATTGATTGGATTGAACATGATGGATGTCCTGGCTGTTGTCCGACCGGAAGTGGTCAGGATATTGTCTTGTTGAGATAGATCTGATAAGAGGTCAAGGTCAGTCTAGCCAGACAACGGAAGTCTGTCTGATAAAGATAACGTCACTAGCTATCGAAGTGACGTCATCTACAGTTGGGAGACTTCCTCAAAGGACATACAGCTTTCAAATGTCATACATTTTGACATATAGCTTTCAAATATCATACGTTTTGACATATAGCTTTAAATATCATACATTTTGACATGTAGATGGACACACTTTTTTCGACAAAAAATTTAGTTATATTGATTGTGATCATTTGTTGCTCAAAGTTTTCTAGAATTTAAGTTTTCACTGGAGTCTGTTACATCATACATCTCCGTGTGTGGATCACCTGAGTACCCCAGACCTACAGGTAGGTGACTGGCTAACGACGTGTCAAAACACGATGACACAGTCACAAAACGTGACGACACAACTAGGTCATGTGTACACCGGATCCACCGATGTCAGTCGTGTCACTGTGACCTGCTGCTGTGAACACCTGGCACACCTTCCTGCCACACGAGTGACCTGCCACTGGCCTGCCACACCCAGGTGTGGCAGGCGTACGGTGTGGGGAGAAAGTGATCCAAGGTGTAACAAGAATAACATGACCTGTGCTGTGTTTGAGGTGTGTGCTGTAAAATTAGCATTTCAATACTTCGTGAACTTTGACCCACTTGCTAACCCCATTTCCCAGATCTAGGCACGGCTGTGATTTAGTCTATCAAGGTTAGTTATCTAACAGACCCATAATGACTGACAGACTGACACCTTGGCTAACAGACTGACCTATTGTCTGACCTAATGACTGACAGACTGACCTAATGACTGACAGACTGACCTAATGGCTGACAGACTGACCTAATGACTGACAGACTGACCTAATGACTAACAGACTGACCTAATGACTGACAGACTGACCAAATGGCTGACAGACTGACCCCTTGGCTGACAGACTGACCTAATGACTGACAGACTGTCCTAATGACTGACAGACTGACCTCTTGTCCAACAAACTGCCGACATGGACGTACTATGATCAAGCGCGTGTGATCTCTTGTCTATAAATAGCCGCAGCCTGAAGTGTGAGTACTTATCTTTGTGAATGGGCAGTTGTATGAGAGGAGAGGGGGCGGGTCTAAGTCACGTGGTCATTAAGGGATGAAATCCAGGGGAGCGTGCGGGTTTAATTACTCGAGGCAATCAACAGAGACGGTCAGGGTGGGGCGGGGTAGTGTGTAGATACCATGATACCACCAAACACCATGACAATTACGTAATGACAATATCACCATCAAACACCACTATAATGGACGGGATAACCTTATGTAAACAGTTTAACAACCAACCAAAGCTTAGTAACATCACTAGTACACATAGACACAACATCACTAGTACACATAGACACAACATCACTAGTACACATAGACACAACATCACTAGTACACATAGACACAACATCACTAGTACACATAGACACAACATCACTAGTACACATAGACACAACATCACTAGTACACATAGACACAACATCACTAGTACACATAGACACAACATCACTAGTACACATAGACACAACATCACTAGTACACATAGACACAACATCACTAGTACACATAGACACAACATCACTAGTACACATAGACACAACATCACTAGTACACATAGACACAACATCACTAGTACACATAGACACAACATCACTAGTACACATAGACACAACATCACTAGTACACATAGAACCCAATGACATCACTAGTACACATAGACACAACATCACTAGTACACATAGACACAACATCACTAGTACACATAGACACAACATCACTAGTACACATAGACACAACATCACTAGTACACATAGACACAACATCACTAGTACACATAGAAGCCAGTGACATCACTAGTACACATAGAAGCCAGTACACGTATGATAATTAAAAAATTCCTCAAGAATTTGTTGTTGTTTTTTTTGGCGATCTCACAGGAATGTATTTCTTAGACACACTCTCGCTACTCACATACACACCAAAACTTTCTTAGACACACTCTCGCTACTCACATACACACATACACACCAAAACTTTCTTAGACACACTCTCGCTACTCACATACACACATACACACCAAAACTTTCTTAGACACACTCTCGCTACTCACATACACACCAAAACTTTCTTAGACACACTCTCGCTACTCACATACACACCAAAACTTTCTTAGACACACTCTCGCTACTCACACACACACCAAAACTTTCTTAGACACACTCTCGCTACTCACATACACACCAAAACTTTCTTAGACACACTCTCGCTACTCACATACACACATACACACCAAAACTTTCTTAGACACACTCTCGCTACTCACATACACACATACACACCAAAACTTTCTTAGACACACTCTCGCTACTCACATACACACCAAAACTTTCTTAGACACACTCTCGCTACTCACATACACACCAAAACTTTCTTAGACACACTCTCGCTACTCACATACACACCAAAACTTTCTTAGACACACTCTCGCTACTCACATACACACATACACACCAAAACTTTCTTAGACACACTTTCGCTACTCACATACACACCAAAACTTTCTTAGACACACTCTCGCTACTCACATACACACATACACACCAAAACTTTCTTAGACACACTCTCGCTACTCACATACACACCAAAACTTTCTTAGACACACTCTCGCTACTCACATACACACATACACACATACACACCAAAACTTTCTTAGACACACTCTCGCTACTCACATACACACATACACACCAAAACTTTCTTAGACACACTCTCGCTACTCACATACACACTCTCGCTACTCACATACACACATACACACCAAAACTTTCTTAGACACACTCTCGCTACTCACATACACACATACACACCAAAACTTTCTTAGACACACTCTCGCTACTCACATACACACCAAAACTTTCTTAGACACTCTCTCGCTACTCACATACACACCAAAACTTTCTTAGACACACTCTCGCTACTCACATACACACATACACACCAAAACTTTCTTAGACACACTCTCGCTACTCACATACACACTCTCGCTACTCACATACACACATACACACCAAAACTTTCTTAGACACACTCTCGCTACTCACATACACACATACACACCAAAACTTTCTTAGACACACTCTCGCTACTCACATACACACCAAAACTTTCTTAGACACTCTCTCGCTACTCACATACACACCAAAACTTTCTTAGACACACTCTCGCTACTCACATACACACATACACACCAAAACTTTCTTAGACACACTCTCGCTACTCACATACACACCAAAACTTTCTTAGACACACTCTCGCTACTCACATACACACCAAAACTTTCTTAGACACACTCTCGCTACTCACATACACACATACACACCAAAACTTTCTTAGACACACTCTCGCTACTCACATACACACCAAAACTTTCTTAGACACACTCTCGCTACTCACATACACACCAAAACTTTCTTAGACACACTCTCGCTACTCACACACACACCAAAACTTTCTTAGACACACTCTCGCTACTCACATACACACCAAAACTTTCTTAGACACACTCTCGCTACTCACATACACACATACACACCAAAACTTTCTTAGACACACTCTCGCTACTCACATACACACATACACACCAAAACTTTCTTAGACACACTCTCGCTACACACATACACACCAAAACTTTCTTAGACACACTCTCGCTACTCACATACACACCAAAACTTTCTTAGACACACTCTCGCTACTCACATACACACCAAAACTTTCTTAGACACACTCTCTCTACTCACATACACACCAAAACTTTCTTAGACACACTCTCGCTACTCACATACACACCAAAACTTTCCACCCCCCCCCCCCCCCCCGTATCTCTCTTTCTCTAAACCAAATATCTTAACGTTTTTTATTTATTTAGAAAAACAGTTGTTTCAAGCCTTAAAGTTGTTCAACACCAATCCTTTATTGTCCTACAGACACGGGTCATGGTCCCTCATTGTCCAACAGACACGGGTCATGGTCCCTCATTGTCCTACAGACACGGGTCATGGTCCCTCATTGTCCAACAGACACGGGTCATGGTCCCTCATTGTCCTACAGACACGGGTCATTTTGTCCAACAGACACGGGTCATTTTGTCCAACAGACACGGGTCATTTTGTCCAACAGACACGGGTCATTTTGTCCAACAGACACGGGTCATGGTCCCTCATTGTCCTACAGACACGGGTCATTTTGTCCTACAGACACGGGTCATTTTGTCCAACAGACACGGGTCATTTTGTCCAACAGACACGGGTCATGGTCCCTCATTGTCCTACAGACACGGGTCATGGTCCCTCATTGTCCAACAGACACGGGTCATGGTCCCTCATTGTCCTACAGACACGGGTCATTTTGTCCAACAGACACGGGTCATTTTGTCCAACAGACACGGGTCATTTTGTCCAACAGACACGGGTCATTTTGTCCAACAGACACGGGTCATGGTCCCTCATTGTCCTACAGACACGGGTCATTTTGTCCTACAGACACGGGTCATTTTGTCCAACAGACACGGGTCATTTTGTCCAACAGACACGGGTCATGGTCCCTCATTGTCCTACAGACACGGGTCATGGTCCCTCATTGTCCTACAGACACGGGTCATGGTCCCTCATTGTCCTACAGACACGGGTCATGGTCCCTCATTGTCCTACACTAGCGGGCCTATGAAACAAGAAAGACAAAAGAAAAACTTACCTGGTGGATTAAATCCGGCATCTCGTGTAATCCAAATAATCCAGAAACACACCGCCGTTATGTAACACACTACACACGGGCCACACGGTGATTTAGATCCACCGCTCTACTAATACGATCCACCCCTCCACTCAGTCGATCCACCCTTCCACTAAGTGGCCATCAACTGAAAGCACGAGTTTGAAACTTTTGCCCGCACTTCATCAACATTCTTGGTCGTCTGCTAAAGACAATCGCGAGTCAGTGTCGGGATGTGATGTCATTTCATGCACCTGTAGCGGGGAGGGAGGGGTGCACTCGGCGGTTAACCGCGCTGGCGTGGGCCGCTGGAGTCTCGTCTGCTACCGTCACGAGCGCTGGCGTGGGTGGCGTTACAAGACGTCACGCGTGAGAGGTGCCGGTGTGATATCGGTGGCCAGTCAAGCGTGGCGCGGCAGGCAGGGTGACACAATAAAATAATCAGACAGCTTCTTGTGAAGGTCACGGGTGGTCGTGTGGGCTTGGCATTTGAGGGGGGGGGGGGGGTGACTAGCCGATAACGGCTGGGTCCTAGTGGGTGGTTAGTGTAGCTGGTCACAGCTGGGTGGTAAGTGTAGCCGATTATGGCCTGATGGTGACCGTAGTTGGTGTTATTAACCAGATTTGAAATCGATGACTAATCATTTTTTGAATGTTCATGTCATGATCGACCTTGTTTAGATTGCCATAATGACCAGAGAGTATGGCGGCATGCAGCATACGAATCAAGTGGTTAAGGACGTCAGTTGAGACGCTAAACATTGACAGGCCGAACAAGGCCAGCGGATGTGGGGAACATCATATGGTGTACCAGGATTTCTCTCCCTTGGGCTATAAATAGTTTTTTTATTATCCAATGGGAGATAAGGTCTAATCTAAACCGGAATGGCGATATGTCATTCAGTGACATATGGTAATATGAATGACATGTGGCTGGCTTTTATTGTATAATGAGTTGACATTACGTCTGTGATTTGATTATGTGGTATACGTCGAGACTGGGCTGGTGTGGGTCTTTAACCGACCGTTGGCCTAGTGTGTGGGTCTTTAATCGACCGTTGGGTTAGTGTGTGGGTCTTTAATCGACCGTTGGGTTAGTGTGTGGGTCTTTAACCGACCGTTGTGCTGGTGGAAGACTGGGTTTCTTTCATATATTTTTGTTTGGGTACTGTGGGAGGGGGCAGGTTTTAGATTTTCTGGGGAGGGTGGCGGACTATGATTATTTTTAAAATTTCGTTCGGGGGGGGGGCTGTCGGTGGACTGGTCTAGTAGGTCCTGGAGTAGACGGCTGGGCCATTGTTAGGTCCTGGAGTAGACGGCTGGGACAGTGTTAGGTCCTGGAGTAGACGGCTGGGCCAGTGTTAGGTCCTGGAGTAGACGGCTGGGCCAGTGTTATGTCCTGGAGTAGACGGCTGGGACAGTGTTATGTCCTGGAGTTGACGGCTGGGACAGTGTTAGGTCCTGGAGTAGACGGCTGGGCCAGTGTTAGGTCCTGGAGTAGACGGCTGGGCTAGTGTTAGGTCCTGGAGTAGACGGCTGGGACAGTGTTAGGTCCTGGAGTAGACGGCTGGGCCATTGTTAGGTCCTGGAGTAGACGGCTGGGACAGTGTTAGGTCCTGGAGTAGACGGCTGGGCCAGTGTTAGGTCCTGGAGTAGACGGCTGGGCCATTGTTAGGTCCTGGAGTAGACGGCTGGGCCAGTGTTATGTCCTGGAGTAGACGGCTGGACCATTGTTAGGTCCTGGAGTAGACGGCTGGGCCAGTGTTAGGTCCTGGAGTAGACGGCTGGGCCAGTGTTAGGTCCTGGAGTAGACGGCTGGGCCAGTGTTAGGTCCTGGAGTGGACGGCTGGGCCATTGTTAGGTCCTGGAGTGGACGGCTGGGCCAGTGTTAGGTCCTGGAGTGGACGGCTGGGCCAGTGTTAGGTCCTGGAGTGGACGGCTAGCATCCGTCCATTCTACGACCCAACTCGAGTAAGATTTGAACCAGAACCCAGCGAGAGACAGAGCAACGTTGGGTTGACCAACCACCTACACCCTGTGACCAACCACCGACACCTTGCTACCTGTGACCAACCACCGACACCCTGCCACCTGTGACCAACCACCGACACCCTGCCACCTGTGACCAACCACCGACACCCTGCCACCTGTTACCAACCACCGACACCCTGCCACCTGTGACCAACCACCGACACCCTGCTACCAACCACCGACACCCTGCCACCTGTGACCAACCACCGACACCCTGCCACCTGTGACCAACCACCGACACCCTGCCACCTGTGACCAACCACCGACACCCTGCCACCTGTGACCAACCACCGACACCCTGCTACCTGTGACCAACCACCGACACCCTGCTACCTGCTACCAACCACCGACACCCTGCTACCTGTGACCAACCACCGACACCCTGCTACCTGTGACCAACCACCGACACCCTGCTACCTGTGACCAACCACCGACACCCTGCTACCTGTGACCAACCACCGACACCCTGCTACCTGTGACCAACCACCGACACCCTGCTACCTGTGACCAACCACCGACACCCTGCTACCAACCACCGACACCCAGCCACCTGTGACCAACCACCGACACCCTGCTACCTGTGACCAACCACCGACACCCTGCTACCAACCACCGACACCCAGCCACCTGTGACCAACCACCGACACCCTGCTACCTGTGACCAACCACCGACACCCTGCTACCAACCACCGACACCCTGCTACCAACCACCGACACCCAGCCACCTGTGACCAACCACTGACACCCTGCCATCTGTGACCAACCACCGACACCCTGCTGCCTGTGACCAACCACCGACACCCTGCTACCTGTGACCAACCACCGACACCCTGCCACCTGTGACCAACCACCGACACCCTGCTACCTGTGACCAACCACTGACACCCTGCTACCAACCACTGACACCCTGCTACCTGTGACCAACCACCGACACCCTGCCACCTGTGACCAACCACCGACACCCTGCCACCTGTGACCAACCACCGACACCCTGCTACCAACCACCGACACCCAGCCACCTGTGACCAACCACCGACACCCTGCTACCTGTGACCAACCACCGACACCCTGCTACCTGTGACCAACCACCGACACCCTGCTACCAACCACCGACACCCAGCCACCTGTGACCAACCACCGACACCCTGCCACCTGTGACCAACCACCGACACCCTGCTACCTGTGACCAACCACTGACACCCTGCTACCTGTGACCAACCACCGACACCCTGCTACCAACCACCGACACCCTACTACCTGTGACCAACCACCGACACCCTGCTACCTGTGACCAACCACCGACACCCTGCTACCTGTGACCAACCACCGACACCCTGCTACCTGTGACCAACCACCGACACCCTGCTACCTGTGACCAACCACCGACACCCTGCTACCTGTGACCAACCACCGACACCCTACTACCTGTGACCAACCACCGACACCCTGCTACCTGTGACCAACCACTGACACCCTGCTACCTGTGACCAACCACCGACACCCTGCTACCAACCACCGACACCCAGCCACCTGTGACCAACCACCGACACCCTACTACCTGTGACCAACCACCGACACCCTACTACCTGTGACCAACCACTGACACCCTGCTACCTGTGACCAACCACCGACACCCTGCTACCAACCACCGACACCCAGCCACCTGTGACCAACCACCGACACCCTACTACCTGTGACCAACCACCGACACCCTGCTACCTGTGACCAACCACCGACACCCTGCTACCAACCACCGACACCCTGCTACCTGTGACCAACCACCGACACCCTACTACCTGTGACCAACCACCGACACCCTGCTACCAACCACCGACACCCTGCTACCAACCACCGACACCCTGCTACCTGTGACCAACCACCGACACCCTGCTACCTGTGACCAACCACCGACACCCTACTACCTGTGACCAACCACCGACACCCTACTACCAACCACCGACACCCTACTACCTGTGACCAACCACCGACACCCTACTACCTGTGACCAACCACCGACACCCTGCTACCAACCACCGACACCCTACTACCTGTGACCAACCACCGACACCCTACTACCTGTGACCAACCACCGACACCCTGCTACCTGTGACCAACCACTGACACCCTGCTACCTGTGACCAACCACCGACACCCTGCTACCAACCACCGACACCCAGCCACCTGTGACCAACCACCGACACCCTACTACCTGTGACCAACCACCGACACCCTACTACCTGTGACCAACCACTGACACCCTGCTACCTGTGACCAACCACCGACACCCTGCTACCAACCACCGACACCCAGCCACCTGTGACCAACCACCGACACCCTACTACCTGTGACCAACCACCGACACCCTGCTACCTGTGACCAACCACCGACACCCTGCTACCAACCACCGACACCCTGCTACCTGTGACCAACCACCGACACCCTGCTACCTGTGACCAACCACCGACACCCTGCTACCTGTGACCAACCACCGACACCCTGCTACCTGTGACCAACCACCGACACCCTGCTACCTGTGACCAACCACTGACACCCTGCTACCTGTGACCAACCACCGACACCCTGCTACCAACCACCGACACCCTGCTACCTGTGACCAACCACCGACACCCTGCTACCAACCACCGACACCCTGCTACCTGTGACCAACCACCGACACCCTGCTACCTGTGACCAACCACCGACACCCTGCTACCTGTGACCAACCACCGACACCCTGCTACCTGTGACCAACCACCGACACCCTGCTACCTGTGACCAACCACTGACACCCTGCTACCTGTGACCAACCACCGACACCCTGCTACCAACCACCGACACCCAGCCACCTGTGACCAACCACCGACACCCTACTACCTGTGACCAACCACCGACACCCTACTACCTGTGACCAACCACTGACACCCTGCTACCTGTGACCAACCACCGACACCCTGCTACCAACCACCGACACCCAGCCACCTGTGACCAACCACCGACACCCTACTACCTGTGACCAACCACCGACACCCTGCTACCTGTGACCAACCACCGACACCCTGCTACCAACCACCGACACCCTGCTACCTGTGACCAACCACCGACACCCTGCTACCTGTGACCAACCACCGACACCCTGCTACCTGTGACCAACCACCGACACCCTGCTACCTGTGACCAACCACCGACACCCTGCTACCTGTGACCAACCACCGACACCCTACTACCTGTGACCAACCACCGACACCCTGCTACCAACCACCGACACCCTGCTACCAAC